AGTGATATCTCTAAGGATGTAGTTTCTGGGATCTTCTACTACCATTTGTACTTTTGAAAAATCTGTACCTAAAATTCAGGCTCCTCAACCCAGTCTTCTCAGTGGGACTGCATAGAAGTTATGCCTGAGGCTGCCTCAGAACCTTGGGCTGCCAAACAGCCAGACACTCAGCCTAAGAACAGTGCAGCTCCTTCCACCTCATTCACTCCACTTTCCCCTTGTGGAAACTATGGGATGGGATGGGCAGCAGTGAGGGGCAAGTGAGCAGCATGCACCCAACTCTCATCTAGGCATAGAGTCTGGATGTGGAATTAGACAGACGGCACCTTAGGAATCAAGCAGCATTTGCACTGACCGATCTTCTGCAGCAGCTCCCACAGACGACTAGGAAAAAGCATCTGCCAAGGCTGAAACCTGTCTTGTGCAAAAAATTCTACTGAGAGCAAAGCGAGATTATGAATGAGCTGACAAAACCAGCCTGCTGTTGGCATAGGCATCAAGCAGAGACAGGGTAGCTACACTGAAAGTGTTTCATCCATTACTGTCAGAGAAGTTACTTTTAGCACTGATCCCGCTCTAATAAATCATGTTGCCAAGCAGTTTTATAGAGGTGTTATATATCTAAAGCTACTTATGGTCCCATTAAAAGAGATGCATTTCTTTTTTAGTTCAACATGGCTGAAATGCTGTCACAGAAGAAAGAGAGTCACTACTCAGAGTGCTATTGTAAGAGGTATTATTGTAATTACAGCAGGAGAGACGACATGAGCTAGGAGCCACCATCCCCTGTCCCATCGCCTTTAGGCAGCCTTGCAAAGCAGAAAATTTGCTAAGACCAGCACAATAGCTGCTCACGCACCCTTTGCCATGGTGATTGATGAAAATGGGGAAATAATGATGTTACTTCCCTGTTCACCATAAATCACCCATATCCTCAAAGTGACTACAGTATTATAAGTCTGGCCAGATTTATATGGACAACTTAACCAATTAGCTCTTTCATAAAGGCTGTCGTCTTCTTAATGCAGTGTTAAGATATATTTAGGCATGTGTCTACAAAATAAATTATTTTTCTGAAGCTAACAAAGCTCTTATTCTAGCAGACTTAAAATCTTGGTCTGCAAGTGTTCGCCCTGTGGCTGTGTTCACATTAGCAAGTTATCCAGTGATGGCAGAAGCCAGCCAACAGATGAAAGCAGGGTGCCTGGAGGCACCTACATATACACTATACAAACACACATACATGCATGCACACATATGTATATATCTATACACATACATATGTACATACATATAAAAATATATATGGTTTGCCACCATTGAGGCCAGCGGGAAAACTCTGATAGACTACGTTACCAACAAGTGGAGTAGTTTAGGAAGCCGGTATATCCAGTCACAGCTGTACTTCATCCTATCACCATCACACCAATGCTTTGCATAGCACTGCAAATTAGCAGCAAGGCCACTCCTGTCTCTGGAAGGCAGAGATAATTCTCAAGGCCATCACCCCCCTAAGCCCATTCAGAAGGCAGCCGTGAAGATGTCCCATCGTCTAATGAGGTTATGGGAGAGGGGCCATGGGCAGTCACGTATCCTTCACTGCCAACAGCCACTGCATCCAAACAACCCAGCAAGACAGCTGCTGACAGCAAAAAGGTGCCTAAGCAAGAAGAAATGCCCATCTTCCAGTTTCTCCTGCATCATCTTCTTAAATCCACACACAACAGTTAACAAAATGATGTCCCATCGAACATCAGAAGAGCATCAAAACATCCCCGTTTCAGCACTTGCCTGAGACAGAAAAGGGCTCTGTGCAGGCACAGAAGTAAGGAGGTCTCTAGGCAATTTGCTGCACTATTATCCCTTGGTGAATACTGGAGGGGATAGAAAAAAAGCTTTCTTTTTTGTTCGTTTTCGAGGGGGTTTATTATCAGTTTAGGAGTCAATTGCATGTAAAGGACCAGCTGACCAAGCTGGCATCAGATCAAAATCCAGAGTGCACTTCTGACTCCTGGCTGCAACACAAAGAGACAGCTGGAAACCCTCTTAATGTCAACAGTGAGTCTGGCTGTTCAAACAAACATGCACTTGCAGTGTCTGAGGCATATCAGAAAGCTGGCTGACCCAGCTGCCTACAGAGTAGAGGCGACCTGCTGGAAACCCTCACCCAAAGAGTACTTTTGCCCTTCCATGTGCAAGGAACTCCTTGTCATAGGATGAAAGGATGCCATGGATAGTAAGTTTACCTTAAGTCTAAAAAGCAACTAGACAAATGCATGGGGTAAAAAATCTATCTGGGTCCATCAGGCACAAAATCCCTGAGTCACATTGTGCTAGAGACAGGGAAATACTTAAGAGGAGGTCATCGGCCCACAACAGCACTGATCCTGTAATGTTTCACGTGTTCACTAGCACCCATCGTTGGCAGTAGGGCACTGAGCTAGATGGACCTCAACATGACAGTATGTCTAACATTTCTGGATAGTAGGTCATGTTGAAAATCAGTCACAAATATTTTCCTGAACACTGTCCATGAACCCCAGCCAACGAGGTTCACAAGCAAACACACAATTTTCCTTGGGTGAGCAGGCTCCCTTGTTTTTACATTAACACAAGTACATCGGTCAAAGCCTCTCAATGGCTGGAACCACGAGAAGATTACCTCATCAGCTCCCATCTCACATAGCCAGACAATGTAGGGCCAAAACAGGATATACAAAGTAGCAATTTATTGGAAAAAGTATTATGACTGTTTATTGAGGCTGTGACATGATTAGTACCCCAAACAGAAAGATAAACTGGCAACCTAAAGTGTTTCAAACCAACAACTCCCACTGAGTTCAACAAATCAACGATCAGCACAGAAACTGTAAATCACAGTGTTACTATTTTATTATTTAAAAACTCTAGGAAATGTAGGGAGTACACAGGCATCTTTGCATGTACAGAAAAGGCAATTCAATTGTCATAAGCTTTTGGTATCAGTTAACATTGTTTATGAAACTGTACCTTGACAACTGCACGCAAAGGGCCAGCAGCAGGGCTGCACAAACGCAATTACTCCCACTGTTGGGTCAGAAGCTCTCATTCTAACTTCAGAGTGGAAGCATATTATGAAGAAAAAAAAAAAGAGAGAGAGAAAAATGCTGCTGAGATATGCAGCTCTGTTCATACCAGGCTTGTTACTGGTCTTGCCAACATCTGAGATTTCACAGGAGAAATTTTGAGAAATTTCAGGATTTTGATTGTTGTAGGACATTCACCACCAGTGCCCAGAAAGGACTGTATCCAGGATACGGTTCCAAAATGAACCTAGGAATGCATAAACCAGGTAGCATTGTGCCCTTCTGTACTTCACCCATACAGGTAAAAATAATCTGGGACATGAATGGGTGCCTTTGGATTCAGGGGTGGCCTTAGAAGGACCTTTGCTCCTTAAAAACTCCTTCAAAAGCTTAACTCACTATCTGTCTTGAATTCCCTTTTGGTTCTTCCTCCTCTATATGGCAATAGGTTTTCCGTTGGTTTTTGAAAATTAAATGTTATCTTCTCTTTTTACCCATCCTGACCAGCTGGTCTTGCACACAGGTGACTGAAACTCTCTCATGAGGTCTACAGCAAAGGTTTTACATGACTCCGCAAAAAAGAAAACGAAAGCACAACAAGATCAGCTTTTCTCCTTTTACTGCTGAGATCTGTTCTGAGAAAGGAGGCACATGTCAAATAGTTTGACTGGACGGATGCTGGGACACCATCTGACAAGTTTCTCTTCCAAGTTGGGGGGAAAAATGGCTTCTGGAAAGCACCTGAACTTTGGGGCATTTAAGCATCAGAGGAGTGTATCTCTTTTAGTAAGCACATTCCCAATGCCAGCATCCTGCTGCCTCCCTGGCAGAGCCTACAGCTAAAATGCTGATTTGATGCCCTAACAGTTAAACATTGCTGGTCTTTCTAAAACAAGACCCCACCTTACTATTGTGTTTGGAGTTTCTGAAAGGCTACTCACTATTTGAAGTAAATCCCTGTTTTCAAGAACAGCCAGGTTTTCCTTTAAAGAAGACAAGTGCTCTGAGTGGCCCTTCAGAAACCAACACGATTTAAGATGGGAGAGTTTTTTCAAGATCTGCAGCCACGCAAGATTTAGCTCCACTAGATGTTCATCATTCTTCAAATGTATCCTCAGATACATAGCCTGTATTTTTCTGATTCAATTAGATTACCACACACGTTTCAGCCTTGCCCTTGTGTAGGCTAGTTTTAAAGAAACATTACACACCAGTAACAGAAAGGTAAGGAAACAATCCTGGTGTCTCCATATCACATTGTCCAGCTGCTAGCTGAGATCAGGATATAACACACCCCAAAATGTCTCACCTCAAACAGGATAGCTGCAAACAGAAACCTGGATCTTCCTCTAAATGACATTATTTCTCAGTCAGATGACAGAAGTGGTGCTTTCCTACACACTATGAGTCAATGTAAAAGATGCTTATTTTCACTGCGCTGTGTTGGTAGCAATGCCCATGTCCCTGTTTCTGGTAAGGCACAGATAAAGGCAGCATTTTACAGCTGCAGCAAGCTCAAGAAGATAAAAAAGACCCTGTATACACTTTTGTCAAGTTCCTCTGTCTGCCTCAGGTGAGACTAATAGTCTGCCGGCACTTGCATGAGACTCCTCTGTCAGGCACCAGTCTTGCTAATTAAGTACTTTGACTGTCTCGGTATTGAAGTCTGGAGCAAGAGGGAGATAAATGCAAACCACAGACGGACGACAAGAGTCTGTGTCGTTGAAGACCTGGTCCAGAACGAAGGAGCAGGACCGTCAGGGGCATCTGCAGTGTTCTGCTAAAATGGCTGGTCCATTAAAGACCAAGGCACAGGTGTGGAGAAAGCAAATGATGGTTTTCTGTGTCTGCTAAATTTTTAGTTTATTTTTAAGAGGACAGGGATATAGTAAGGGGGGTTATCAGTGCAAGTCAGGATCACAAGGAGCCAGACGCTCACTCTTTAACAAACCAGACTTCATTGCGTCGCCCATAAGGCTTCATGGGGGGGTCATAACCATTGCAGAAGTAGAAATCCTTGCGGTATGCAGCTTCACTTCCCAGAGCAGACTTCAGCTTGGCAGCATAGTCCACATAATCCACCTCTTTGGCATAGCCACCAAACTGCCTGCAAAAATAATCAAACATTGAGAGGTGCTGATCAGTCCTACAAAGCCCAGAAAGGAAGAGAGGGAGAACAATATACAGCCACAACATACTTAGCCATGCATTTTGGTCCAGGCCCTGCTGGCATGCACTCATGCAGGTGCTGTTCTCTATGAACCACCACACTTTGTAGTAGATTAAGTCTCAAGTGTTAAACAGCCAGGGTACACTAATCCATTGGTAGACCCCAAACAGTACCCCTCCAAACAGACCCACATATAGCAGTCAGCAGAATGTGTCCGCCCTTTGAATCAACGTCATATCAGAGGAATAGCTTCTTTGAACACAAAGTTATCTCCACGTCTGCTCAGCCTGCAGTCCTTACACTAGTGCTGTCAACAATCATGTGGTGTGAACAATCACCTGCTGGAAGCCAGATCAAAAAGGGAAGCCAAACACTGGCCAGCCCAAGGAAAGGAGGAGATAGGAACAGGGATGTTAGCAATTACAGCCCACAATGCTATCTGAAAGGGGAGGGTTGGAACCAGTCTGTTTTATGTTGACCTCCCACCAACAGGAACTGTTTTCGCCACCAGCCTGCATCTCACAGCCCCGTCCCCAGCCAGGGTTTGAGACAAAACAGCCTGTTCTTACAGAAGTGGCCCACGCCCACAGCAAAGGTCAGGGAGCAGTTGCAGGCAAGGGCAGAGCCAGACAGTTCAGAGGAAGACAAAGTAGTTCAAGCAGGGAGGGAGGAGCACATACAAGAAGAAGAGCTTATTGCTATTGTGATGCTAGTTTGAGTCCAGGCTGTCAGTCAATAGACGAAGATATTCAAAGGTGATTTGAAGCAATTTGATGGCTGATTGTTTCTATGATGGATTCTGGCACAAGTCCATCAAAATGAGGCTTCAGCTGACACCTGCAGTTTGATGCAAACGATACTAAAGGATATTCTTGATGACTATGAACCATCTTGAGCACAGAAAGTGGGGGGAAAAAAAAAATCCATATTCCAAATCAGTGCAGCATGACCAATGACAAGAGATTACATAAAACACCTGTCTCCAGTCTAGAAAGACCCCTCCATCTGCTTCTACCACATGCCATCCCTTGTCCAGCAAGTCACCGGGTAAGACCAACACTGCTCTCCAGAGCACACCAGAGACCTCAGCACTTGGGACTGGAAATCCCAGGATGAGTTCCTTACGTGGAATAAATGGTCATCTCCTGTCTCTCTTCAATCTTAATGCTCTCATCGCTAGGAAAAGGAGGGTTGGCTTGAAACTGGCTTGGGATTCGCAGAGAGACCTTCACATTCTGCTGTAAGGAGCCATCTTCAGCAGGAGACAGGAGCAGTCATGCCCATTCCAACCCCTGAAAGAGACACAGAGACATTACTAAAGAAGTGTAGGTTCTTAGGAACTCACAAAATTAACAGGAGATTCACACAAGTTAACTTTCGTTTAGGAAAACTCCTTACACTGAACTCCCTGTACAGTCAGTCAAGAGTGAGGTCCTATGGGGCATGCAGAACAGCCATATCAAGCTTCTGCTTGAGCCCAACTTCTCTCTCTACTGACTACACATGGACCATGACAGATAAGGGCCTCCAGTGACCTCTGCATAGCTTTTCATTAGTGGCCCTGTTTTACTGACACTCCACCATACAGCTCATGCCACCAAGACACACTTCTGACAAATCACTTCTAACACAACAGGGTCTGTAGTTCCGGAGAAGGTCATTGGCACATGTAAATCTACATAAGTATTTAAATTGTCACCATCTGCCCATAGCGAACACTGGGTGACAGGGGTTTTCTCCTAAACCTTTCTGAATGCTTCCAGACATCCTACAAGTTCCAGTGCTCCAAAACTCAGAGGTGTTACGGCTTTCAGCAGAACAGTCCATTACTGCCAAGAGGTACCATGTGGCAGTGAAGAACGTTTTTCTTCCCTCCTCTTCCTCCAGTAGAAGAGAACCTCCAAAACTGAGGATCAGGCAGCCACAGAAACAGCCAAGAGCAAGCCATCTTTGTTATTTTGCTTTGATACCACACCTGTCTCTGTGGCACACATTATAGAAGGCACCTTTTCTCCTACAGCAACAGCAATCATCCCCTTTGTATCCAAAATATGCTGCTGTAACTGCCATTTCCCTCTGCATCAGGCTCCTGCTCCCATATAGACTACACAAGTCCATCTATGACATGCCTGACAAAGGTGTGTGAGCAAATGTATGGGCCTCGGAACTACTCTGTGGTCTTCTCCTCCTGCTATGGATGATTACCGATGCATGGCCTTCAGTAAATTAAGAATTAGAAACAATCACCTGGAAGTACTATTATAAAACATGACAAGGTATCATTAAAAAGCAAGCTCATTGTTCATTACCCTTTCATGAATAAAAAGAGCCAGGGCCTACCACAGAATATCAAGGTTATAAAAGTTATTTTATTGCCTACAAGGGCATATCACAGAGCTGAAGTGCCGCAGATGCCCTGGATTTTATCAGCTACTGCTCACTCAGGGAGCTGTTACAGATAGACGTGTGCCTGTCCTCACGTAATCCCAGCTGCAAGGTAACTCATTCCTGTTTACAAAAATGATTTTTGAGATCTTACCCTGAAAAACACACAGGTTAGGAGTGGTGTCACAGCACGAGTGGTCTGAGCACACTTGGACCTGTGGCAACTTTCTTTTTCCCAGTGAGGGGCCATCCCCATCA